GGACATTGTCCACCACAGTGAAAAAGTATGAGGATAACCTTAAAGGAAGACCAGAAGGTTTTTTAACCTTAGTGACCACAACAACAGATAACCACCCTGTGAAAAAGAAGAATGGCAATAAAGTTCGTTCCAATTTGTCAAGAAAACAGGAAGCAAACCTCAAAAGCCGTTGGTTAAGGTGAAAAGAAATAGCTCTGGGAATAAGCATGGTCAAACAAGGCCGTGTAAAGAAGAACCTGTGCAAACGTGTGAGTCTATTGATAGTGCTACAGCATATCAGCATCATGCAATGGGCAACGGGTAATAAACCACACCAGTACATGCATCACTTACAACATCATATATTTGATTCTGATGCGTAAACTCTGTTTGAGAAACCATACGTTAGGCAAATCCACCAGGAATCTACGGGTACGGTTTTGGCGAACACCAGAAGAGCATTCTACAAATCATCAGTGGGCAAAAGGGTTGACACGGATGATGTATTCAAACCTGCGTAAGGCCTCCACCTCCATATAGAGCATGGGACTGACTCAGAAAGGAAAATTTTAACAATGAGAGTTTTTCAGTGTGCTATCCTAGAAAATTCAAGATTTCAATAAACTGTACTTTAGATGAATATCATTAATTAAAACGAATTGAGTTGTTCTGCACTTAACATTATATAATCCTACATCTCAACTTGATTATTTTTCATCTAATTACAGTTTATTGAAATCAAGAATCAAATACTTTCCTGCAAGTCAACATCGAATAACTGTTTTTACCGTAAAATTTTCAAATAAAATGATTTACAACATTGGTAGATATATTTTTCTTTCGACATCAGTACCTACTAAAGATTTATAAAGTTGAGTAAAGTTCCTCCAATAAATCAAAAATTAAGCGAGAACAAACACTGAAGAACTAATTAGTTACACATGTGATTTTTGAAAGGCACCTGCTAAAACAAACTTTTCGTATCTCTATATATGTTTTTAAATCAATCCGCTAAAATCCCCCGCCAAGAACAAACAATTTATTTTATTATCGCATTATAATACAGGGTGGCCAAAAGTCAGTACCCATTACGTTGGTCTTTATAGCCTCAGTCACTGAGTCGCCAATTAAATACTACGTACTGGTAGACTTATTACAACCACTGTTCGAGGAATTTGTCAACTCGAAAAAGGTTTTGCCGTTCATTTTTTTCAAATGGGAAGTTCATTTTCATTCATTCCACATTTATTGGATAGTTTTGGGGGATAGTCGGATTCAAGCTCGGAGAAAAAATGAGCGTTCAGCATGTTCAGAGAAAACAATATAGGCTGTTTTAATATTGTAATGGGCGTGGTCTAAAATATTCGAATGTTTCGGAATTGTTGACGACCGGAATCCGCGAACAGTAAGTAACAGTATGCCATCTGCATAGCAACAGCGTCTCGAATCATACAACACGGGGGAGCTAGTCACAGGCCAACGTAGGGTAGCTGCCTTTTGGGCCAACGCCTGATATTCTATTATATTACAATATATTTATTAATATATTAAATTCTTTAATGATATATGGTGCAGGTTTCTTCTAACAGCACTGAGATGGAAAATTTTGACCAGTGATGTCCGATGAAACAAAATCCTTGAAAAATATGGGCTACTCATTGACGAATCCCCAATGAAGGGAAGTGGTGGCACGGCTCTGGTGGCTTTCTAGTGATCGAGTTTTGTTTCTCGACCCTGAGGGAAACTTACAAAACCAGACGCTCCATAATCAAGGAACCGGATTCAAGGAGCTATCTACATTTTAGCAGTGCACATCAGTCCAAACGCACAATTTATAGTGGAATATTTTACAGCCAGTGTATCAGACTCCAGGATAATAATCAACTCGCAAGAACAACTGGAACCCTGATTGCGAGTGAATTAAGCCAAGCATTCAAGGGAGCTGCTTATCCTCAAAATTGGTCGAACAACATTAGCAAAAAAGTTACTCACAGCCAGAAATGGAAACCATTGAACGAGAGATGACCTCCCAAGACAAAACACTGAAGCCCTGAGATCCTACCAATAAGGGTTTGTCTCAACCTTACGGAAGTGGACTCTGACATTGTCACGCGACAGTGAAGAAGAGTGGATGAGGGAAGAACGTAAAAGAAGACCAGGAATTTTTGTTAACCTGAGTGACTCAAAACAACAAGTAACACCCTTGAAGAAAAGAAGAATGGGGCAAAAAAAAAAAAGTTTCTCCAATTTGTCAAGAATACAGGAAGCAACCTCAAAAGGCCGGTTGGTTAAGGGGAAAGAAATAGGCTCTGGGGATTTAATAAGCGACTGGTGCAATCAAGGCCGTGTAGAAAGAAGAACTGTGCAACGGTTTGAGTCTATTGAATAGTGCTACACATATCAGCATCAATGGGAAACGGGATAAAACCACACCAGGTACATGCATCACTTACAACCATCATCTATAAGTTGTGATCAGATTGAAACTGTGTGGGGAGAAACCATACGTAGGCAAAACCACCAGAATGCTAACGGTAATGTTTTGTGGCGAACACAGAAGAGCATTCGAACCAATATCATCAAGAGGGCAAAAGGTTGACACGATGAGATTCAAATGCGTAGGAACTCCACCGGCCATATAGAGCAATGGACGACTCAGAAGGAAAATTTAACAATAGTGTTTCTCCAGTGTGTATCCAGGAAAATTCCAAGATTTCAAACAACTGTACTTAGGATGAATATCATTAATCTTAAATGACGAATTGTTGTTCTTACTTAACCATATATAATCCAACTACTCAACATGAGTTATTTTTCCTCTTAATACAGTTTAATTGAAATCAGAGAATCAATATTTCCCTGCAATCAACAACGAATTAACTGTTTGCCGGGTAAAAATTCAAATAAAGATATTTACAACATTGTGTAGAATATTTCTTTCATCATCAACCTAAAAAGGATATGGAAAAGTTAGTAAAGTTCTCCAATAAAGTAACAATTAATCGAGAACAAACTAGCTTGAAGACGATTTCCACATGTAGTTTGAAGCTCCTGCTAAAAACAACGTTTTCGTATTCTCTTATATAGGTTTTAAACAAATCCGCCCGCCAAGAACAAACATTTTATTTTATTGTATCATTAAAATACAGGGTGGGCCAAAAGTCAGTACCCCATACCGTTGGTCTTTATAGTCTCAGTCACTGATGCCCAATTTAAATTCTTCGTATCTGGTTGGACTTAGTACACCACCTACTGGTGTCGAGGAATTTGTCACTACGTCGAAAAATGGTTTGCGTTCATTTTTTTCAATGGAATTCATTTTTCCACATTTATTTGATAGTTTGGATAGCAGGATCAAGCTCTGAAAAATTAGGCGTTTCAGCATTTTCAAGAAAACTATAGAGGTGTTTTTATTTTAATATTGAGATGGGCGGTGGTCTAAAATTTTCGACATTTCATATATTGACGACGGAAACCTCGAACCAGTAAGTACAGATATGCCATCTGCAAAGCAACAGCCTCTCCAAATATACAACACGGTGGAGCTATGTTAACTAAGTCTGTGTTATGTAAGTGTCTTATTCTTTAGAAGGTCTGTTCACTGTTACACTGGGTCGATCTTAAGATATCTTGGTGGATTTACTCACTGAGCACTGTAGGGAGGCGGCGCTTCATCCTCAATATATATTGGGGGAGATTGGTTTGAGGGTGCCGTTTGGCCGGGGAAAGATGCCAGATGACCTGAAGGTAGAGGATTCCCACTATCGGATACTCTACTTCGGAACATCCCGTCCTCCTGATCTGCCTGACCTTTACAACTATCACAACATCGTCTAAAACACGTTCTAACCACGTGACAGCACCTCCTCGTAACCACGTCACAGCATGTGTCACAAAGCCCACGAAATTTCTTCGAAGATCCCATTAGAAAGATTATCCCGATAATGAAGAATAACAGGGGGAGAAACAGTGCCAAACTTGCTCTCTTCGAGGAATAGTCATTGGCCGTGAGGAAGTTGTCCCCCAGCGCCCAACAGTGAAATTGTATTCTTGAGGTCCAGTAAAACTCTCTGACATGTTCTGCCACTGCTATCTGATTTAAAGCAGGTTCAGACTTACAGTTTGGAATGACAAAACAGTCTTTCCTTAGCGCATCATAGTCAGTGTGAAATGTACCACTGCGTGTGGGGTCTAAGTGTTTACCAAAAGGAGAGTAGGTTCCTGACAGTGTTACACAGGGGAACTGTGAAGTGCAGGTCACGCCACAAGAGCACTCCTTCCACGGTACCTCATTCAAATTAACTCTCTTTGTTGTTAGCTGGCATCTGCCTATATTGAATCGTGATCCGTGGTAGTTGGGAATCACTACTTGTACTAGTAAAGTGATCAGAATGATCAAGGGAATCAGAGTGAATAGAACCGCGCACGTCACTTTTATCTCACCCATGATTTCCAGCACTCAAACAATGTCAGCAGAAAGTGGACAAAAATCAAAAAACTTATCGATCGTTAGCATGACTTATGAGCCAAACAAAAACTAAGAGCATAAGCAGAAAAGCAAGGACACACAGTCACGTTCCAGCGTAAATAAGTGATTGTGACAATGTTGTGTACGTATGCTCATCATGAACATGCAAAGCACATGATGTTAAAACTTCAAGTGCTTGCTTAAACTTACTCTTACTAAAATAACTGATATAATCCTGGCCAGTTGACCGGCAAAGCGAGGAATAATCTGTACCGAATTAGAGTACTGATGCAAATTAAATTCGCTCATGTATAATGTATATGGATTTATAAAATGTGCGATGAAGTTGACGGCAAATTTATCCCAAGTTATAATTATCATTTGTTCTGGGAGGAGTTCTATTTTATTTGTTTCAGGTCACTTTTTTTTTCTTCGAGCTCTCAAGTCTCAACTTCTATATCATATTCTGGTATTCCATGAGCAAGAGTTATTCAGCAATAACAGTTTGCTTCATCAGAAAATTTTTCAACTCTGAACATAACAAAATTTTTAGTTTTGTTCGGAGGACAGTCCCAAGTACGACCCTGAATTCTGTCAAGTTTGGAAGGACACCACCCTTATGAAGCAATGTAGGGATCAACAGGGAGAAATCGTCAAATGTGGATTTATTTTCTCTGAAACAGGTATTTGAGTTTTCATATTTTTGTTTTTTCCTGATGCAATTTTATTGCTCACAGATTTTATGTAGGTCTTGTCACAAATTTTACACTTTTGAAGCATTTTTCAAAAATAATTGCACTCCATCAAATACCAATATTCATTATTCAAAAGTAACCATTATCCGTTAAATCCACAAAAAAATAAGATTTAATAAAATAATTATTCAAATCGAATCGTCAAAATATTTGTTTATATCTCAATTATTTATGTCTGAAAAAATACTAATCAATTTAAATCAACGCCTAGTTAAAACTTCAAAAGTCACAGTTTTCAGCTCGGGGAGCCCGAGACGATTCTCTTGTTGTCTTCAGATCATTGCCTACTGCATATGAAGTTAAGCCAATCCCTCCTTCTGCGGAAGTTAATGTGATAATTTACTGATATAAATTGTAATATAATCCACTGTGATAAGTTGAGTAGAAGTGGGACAATGTACATGGACATTGGACAATGTACATGGATTGACTGCTGACTTAAGGAGTACCCAAAGGAGCCACCTTTATTAATAATAATATAAGAATAATAATATTAACAATAATTAGTAACAATACTTAATACTAAGCTTACGTCTACGCGAAGAAGAGTAGGTCACTCTTCTGTCTGGGAAGAGACATAACAGCATCAGACGTATCCTTGATCGGAGAAAGGCCCGGTAGCTGGCTATGGTGTAAGTGTAGATGTAGGAGTTTGCCATCAGGTTAAACAGCGAGAGGAAAGCTGAATATCTTTTATAATGAATCTTCAATATCCCCGGCGGGTTCTCCTCTACGAAGGGAGAAATGATGAGAGTATACGCTGTGTAGGGAAGAGTTGAGACACAGAAGACTATAGCGGTCAGGAGAACCGCCGTCACTCCCTGCCATCGCACAGACCCCCCACTTTTCTTTGACACATTCCTCGACTTGACGATCATCCCTAAGGTAGCTGCAGTGGACACTATGACCAATAGATTTGGAACTATTGATAAGATGGTGAGTCCTGCTGGCTTCAGCTTATCCCAGGGCTTGTCTGTGATATTGTAGAGAGGCGAGTATATCTTGTAGTCAAAGTATATATTGTCCTTATCAACGACTAAGAATGCCACTGGAAAATAGAGAGATATAGTCCAAATAGCACCTACTATGTAGATCTTACTCTTTTTTAAGAAGACCATGGTGCTGGCTGGCCACCAGAGAATGAAGACCTTACTGGTGGTTAAACCAGCAACAAAAAGTACCCCTGCCGGGTAGAAAATGTATTGCAAATACACTGCGATGTAGCTCAGCGCATCACCAAGAACCCACTTATTGGCGACGAGGGACACTGCCATTGGGAGTGCGTAGACGAGTGAGGTGATCAGATCGCAGACTGCTATCTGCTCCATGAGGGTCACTAAGAAGTGGTTGAGTCTGAGGGCGTTGTGTCTGATAGAGGCCACCAGAATGATAGCGTTTCCTACAATACTGGATATCAGAACGAAGGTGCAGTAACAAGCCCACACTACTCGCTCCGCTGTGCTCTCTATCCCGAATATTGACGCATTGTTCGATTCCATCATGGTTAATTCAACAGTTTTCAAACTTCTCTTGTCAACAAAGCTTAAAGGAGAAATATGAGTACGGAGTTAGATGGCAGGAACTGTGACTAGAAATCTGGTCCACTGGTTGAGAGACCTAAAACCAGAATCGTAAGTTAAAAGTAGTAAGTGCACGTCTAATATGTATTAAGTAAATTATAACAATGAACGATGAAGATCCGTAAAGTCGCAAAACAAAAGAAATGCTCCAAATTTGATCAAGAGTAGACTAAGCCCTGCTGAAAGGGAAAATAGAAATGCGGAATTAGAATTTAGATGGAAGGAACTGTGACTAGAAATCTGGTCCACTGGTTGAGAATAGAGATACCTAAAAACAGAATCGTAAGTTGAAAGTAGTAATACTTGTAGTGTATAATAATTATAAGTGTACGTCTAATATGTATTGTGAAATCTGGTCCACTGGTTGAGAAATCTAAAATGTATAAACAGGATGTGATGTTAAAAATATTAGGTGTACGTCTAATATGTATTATGTAAAGTATAACAATAAAGATCGGTAAAGTCGTAAACAATTGGTCCGAAATTTGACCAAGAGTAGACAGGGCATTAGGATTTGTAGCATTGAGCCCCAGCCCGGCGCCCTAACGACCATAATGAGCATAATGAACGTTTTACAGAGTTTAGAAGTGTGTATCCACATGGTCATCACACCATCTCCGGACCACCTATATTGTGACAATTAGTCTTAATAAAGGAACAGAGAGGCCTAGAATAGAACAATGATGTAACGTTACGCTTTGAAAACGTAGGAGATACAAATATTTATCATTTAAAATATTAAGAATATATTGAATTTGCACTATACTTTTACAAAAGTAAAAGTATAGTGCACTCTGAGTACCTACGATATAGAACATAATGCAAATGCCTCGCTTTAAAGCCTACGATAATATAATCTAAGAATAAGAAGCCGCACCGGCAGCCGGTGGCTTCTTATTCTGCCGAATGATCTGACTATGGTTTACAAGTTACTACTCACGCGTAATCTATAAGTTACCAGAGTTTAATTACGATAGGTAATTTCTACAAAGCAACAGCTTACAAAGTAATTGTTGTTATCAAGTTAAGTCTCATCTGTAAGAAAAAGAGATCAATAAGAGTTAGAATCTAAGAAAGGATTCCCTGTAGTTCGAGCTCAAAATGAAGGCAAGAATTGGGGAGTACTCTTATAGAGCTATGTTATAATCTGTTCAGGAAATTGGTCGTTTTAAACACGCTACTGGAGGGAGACCAATCACAAACTCAGTACTCAATACCGCGTGACTCATTACCTTTCGCTAGTTCGCTAATTCGGAACTTACATAATTACATAATATGAGAGGGCTGTTTTCCGTGAACCGAGTGTCGTGCCACCAAACAAAGATATTTTCAATCTTGTTAGACGAATTCATAATTTTACATTTGGTATTGCGACAGCTTACTTGTGAGGTGGTGGGAGTCTAGTTTTCTTAGGAGGTAACACAAAATACCCTGGAATTGGACTAATACATCGATTTCCGTTCGTCTAAACATATTAATGTCAATCAAAATGATAGATTTTAGTATAAATATAACCGATACTTTTATTTTCTGAACATAGACAAAGAAATCAACAGATAATGTGCTCTGTGGAGGTTATATTTACTACCTTACAACTACGAAATAGGTACTAATTAACCCGAAACTAATCGTATTACTATTAAAATCCAAGCAAAGAAGTTTGAAAGGATAAGAAACTGTAAAGTCCTCTCATTGTGCATTATGCTGATATGCAGGCCAAGTTTAAGTTAGCAAGACTAGTAATATATGCAAGAGATGAGGCCGAGCTAGTTGGATCTTTAAAAGCAATTATCCTTAGATTGGACATGCGTTTAACAACGAACAGGATCCTTCAGTCTTCAAATCAGTCACTTAACAGCAATGACCAGTTTGAAACCCCGAACCTGCCCCAAATACCACCAAAACTCTACCAAAAATCATACTATTCATCACAGTCATCAGATGACAGTAGTGTTAATGATATTGTGAAGAGTATGGAGGCGGACCTTGACCAGAGATTGACCATTCAGAAAACTGCAAGAGGCGACACAAAGAAGAACTTGTCAAAGGAAGAGACTGAGGGCCTAAAATGGCTTGAGTGCATGAACAATGAGGGAAAACTATCCGTTGTTCAAGCTGATAAAGGAGGTGCAGTGATCATTATCAACCCAGAGACACTAAGGAAGAAGACACTTGAGAAGCTCCAAAACCCGAATATCTATAGTCTATACTGAACTGAAGGAAGATCTCACCCAAACATTACACCATGAGTTATTCCTCAAATGGGTTGAAGGTAAAGAGAAAGGTTTTATCCATCCGATGACTGCAAAAAGTGTCATGGGTGTTTCTGATAATGATAGCACAAAAGAGGGGAAAGATACGACCAATGCAAAGAGCACTTCTTCATATTTCAAGCCAGGAAAAGCCTACTTTTACCCGAGTTTGAAGATCCACAAATTGAAGAGAAAAGACCTTGTGCCAGGCATAGAGCCCCCTGTGAGACTAGTCACTGCACTACAGGAAGGAATAGCAAAAAGGAGTGATGTCTTCTTGGCCAGTGAGTACTTCAAAAATCTTGAAAAGGACTATTGCGAAGACTTACTGACTGACTCAACGGAGGCACTGAGATGGCTTGAAGTATGCAATGAAGTTGAAACAGACAAACGAGCCCTCCGAGCTTTCACTTTCGACTTCAAAGCTCTCTACGACTCATTAAACCCTGAACTTGTCAAGGAAGCCGTTCATCATGCAATGAATACCACCAGACCAGACTGGACACCAGCACTCTGTGATTGGCTGGTCGACCTCGTTGATATCAGTCTAAGATCCTCTATTGGATGCTTCGAAGACAAGTGGTACGTCCAAAAGAACGGAGTGCCTACAGGTGGAAGTCTGTGTGTGCAGTTGGCCAACATAACTGTATTTTATGTAATGAACAAATGCGTTTACAGTAACACTGACATGATGAAGAGAGTCAGGACTGTAAGACGGTACATTGACGATGGTGCAGGTTTCTTCTACAGCACTGAAAGGAAATTTGACCAGTGGATTTCCGATGTAAACAAATCCTTGAAAGAATATGGGCTACTCATTGACGAATCCCAATGGAAGGAAGTTGGCACGCCTGTGGCTTTTCTAGATATCGAGTTTTGTTTCGACCCTGAGGGAAACTTACAAACTGACCTCCATATCAAGGAAACAGATTCAAGGAGCTATCTACATTTTAGCAGTGCACATCCAAACCACATTTATAGTGGAATAGTTTACAGCCAGTGTATCAGACTCAAGAGAATAATCAACTCACAAGAACGACTGGAAACCAGATTGAGTGAATTAAGCCAAGCATTCAAGGCAGCTGCTTATCCCTCAAAAATGGTGAACAACATTAGCAAAAAAGTTCTCAACTCAGAAAGAAACCTTGAACGAAGACCTCCCAAGGACAACACACTGAAGCCAGAGATCCTACCAATAAGGGTTGTCTCAACCTACGGAAGTGACTCTGACATTGTCACCACAGTGAAAAAGTATGAGGAGAACTTAAAGAAGACCAGAAGTTTTTGTAACCTGAGTGACTCAAAACAACAGAGTAACACCCTTGAAGAAAAGAAGAATGGCAAAAAGTTCTTCCAATTTGTCAAGAAAACAGGAAGCAACCTCAAAAGCCGGTTGGTTAAGGTGAAAGAAATAGCTCTGGGGAATAAGCACGGTCAAACAAGGCCGTGTAGAAAGAAGAACTGTGCAACGTGTGAGTCTATTGATAGTGCTACACAAATCAGCATCAATGGGAAACGGGTAAAAACAGCACCAGGTACATGCATCACTTACAACATCATATATTTGATCAGATGTAAACTGTGTGAGAAACCATACGTAGGCAAATCCACCAGAATGCTACGGGTAAGGTTTGGCGAACACAGAAGAGCATTCTACAAGATCATCAGTGGGCAAAAGGTTGACACGGATGATGACTCAAACTGCGTAGGACTCCACCTCCATATAGAGCATGGACTGACTCAGAAGGAAAATTTTAACAATAGTGTTTCAGTGTGTATCCTAGAAAATTCAAGTCCTAGTAGTTTAGATGTTAAGGAGCACCGATATATACATGCCTTAAATTCCCTCCGCCCCTCAGGAATGAATAGTACAAACCCTTTTAAGATTCCTTTATTGCATAATTGATTTTTATTTTGCCTGAGGGGCTTTCCATAAATTATTTTTTTAAATAATTGGTCCTTTTATTGATGTTTCATATTTCATGGCAGTTTCCTTTTCAGAGTTTGAGTTTATATTTAGAAACTAACCATACTATCTTTTAGATTTATGTCACTTATGATGGCTCCGGCTGAAAGTACTATGACTCATTTTATCTAGAAGATTGTAGTTTCATTGCTTCTGAAGTAGCTATCAGTTCGCCGGTCAATGTTGGGTATAATACTCTTGCAATTATCCTTACTTGTATCCTCATGAATCGAATGAACAATTAGACGGTATTGCTGGAAGAGGTCTCGTGTAATAGGTATAAGTAAGCGAACGGGGTGGTTTTCGGGAATGGTTAGTATAATATAACCATCTATTCGGTCCGTCCATCTAAAAACGCCGCACAGATGATCAAATTATGCAAACCAATTAGCGGTCAGCTCGCCCACTATTGCATGTATAAGGTTATATGTGTAGCAATCCCGGAGCCTTAATTTAAATCACTCTCATGATTTATTGTTCATTGTCAATGAGAGTGACCTTCCTCCTGCCAAATGATCTAGTTCCCTCTCATTGTGGAAATTGGAAGTCACGGTTAGGACTGGTAGTAATTCATATGCAGCATTCAGAACCAAGAAATACGGACAATAGTCGGCTTACAATACTAGTCAGCTAACTTTTAAAAAGCAAAAGCAACAAGTTACTCCTCTGACTCAGGAGTAACTTGTTGCTTTTGCTTTTCAAAGAGTCTGAGAAAATAACATGACAAGTTGCAAAATGTGATGTTATAAAATAGTAGTACAAGTATCAAATGTGACGCTGAGTTGGTTGGTTAAACTTGACACTTGAAATACAGCCCCACTTTA